TTTGAGGTAGAAATTAAAATAGTAAATTAATAAGTGATTCTTTATAAACCTTTTAATAATTTAATTATTATATATTAAATGAAAGAAAATATTGAGGTTAATTAGAAATCGAGAAGAAAAAGTAGATCTTTGTCAAATTTTATTAAAAATTTTGACATCTATGGATGACCAATTACCTTTACTTATAAAAACAATGATACATTCAAAACAACTATTGGAGGAGCAATGACTATCTTCTCAAAAGCAGGTATTTTGGCTTACTTAATGATAGAGTTGACTAATGTGATAAATTAGTAAAGTTCAGTCATAAATTCTTACTATATAAGAGATCTGGCTAATGAAATCACAGAATACGAGTTTAATTAGGGCAATTTTGATGTGGCTGTTTCACTAACATACATAAATGATTACAATCAAACTATCAATAATGAGTTGCATAAATATGCTTATGTAACAGTTTCTTAACTTACATTTGATTTCATTGTAAAGGATGATGGGTAACTCATTTGGGAGCAAAAAGAAGATGACTACGAACTAATTAAGTGTCCTCCTGGTAGATTTTTAGGTGAATCTAAGATAACTTAAACTTTAGGAATAGAGAATTAGTTTTTATGTCCAAAAAACTTTACTCTGAAACTTTAGGGTAGTTTCTCAAGTCGTTCTGCTAAGTTTCTTAGAGTCAAAGTCAATAAGTGCGATTAAGCCAGACTCATTTTGAGCAATCCTAATGAAAAATGTGCAAACAAAACTGAAATAGATAGAATATTTGAAAACTTACAAATATTTGTTCCAATAATAAACTAGTATTTTGATGATTCCGATCACTCTGAAAATCCTATTAAATCTACTATATACAATACTTTCTTTACTACATATCCAAGTCTTTCTTAGAGTTAGCTTATTAAAATAAGTCAAAATAAAGCAATTATCAGAGATTCCTATCTTTCATCAAACATTTATGAAAAAGTTTTGAGCTATTATTCAGTAAGGATGGAATATTAATTCTTAAAACAAGAAAATTCTAATTTTAAGCCAGTCTAACTGACAATAGGTCTTGATGAAAATATCAAGTAGACAATAAGATAAACTTACACTATTTCAGATGCTTTATCAAACACTGGGGGATTTATGGAAATAATTCGTTTATTTGCAATTTTATTGATAGGAGGAATCCAATCAAGATTGTACTACTTTTCAATAATCAAAGATTTATTAATTCATCAAGAAAATGATACCACCTAGAATAAAAATGTTAAATTAGTAAATTTAGAAGATAAAGCAATCGATGCTATGAACTAGGCTTAAAGAATGGAATCTAGATAATAATCTTGTACAAGATATAACTATAATGATGTAATGAAGTCTATAAAAGCACGATCTAGGTTTAAATATAACTTTATAAATTGGTCCTCATATTGGATTTCCAAAATATCGTGCAAAGCCAAGAATGTTAAAAGCAATCTTAAGTATTAAATGTTCAAGTAAGGGTAATAAAAAGTTGATAGCAGATTCGAAATAGTAAATTTATTTCATTAGATCAGAGTAAGTAAACTCATGGCTTAGATTTATCTAAGCAAGTATCAAAGATATCTCATGCCTTACTTTAACGACAGACTTATTTCTCTTAAGTCGAACTAGAATGAGTAATTAGATTAGATTAAAAATGACTTCATAAAAAGTTGGCCTAAAACTGAAATTAAAAAAAGAAGTAGTATTGATAAGTATCTGCGTTAGCTTGTTAAGCATTCTTAAGACTCGTAAATTGACAGAAGAATATTAAAGAACTTATTGAAAATTGAAGATTCTCCCTTGATATCTACTATTTAAAACATTAATGAACTGAATAGTTTCAAGGAATTTCCGAGTTTTAATTCACCAAAATAAGAATTTCAAAATTTAACTAATTACAAAAGCAACAATGATTCTATGAAAGTCTACTCCACTAACAGAGGAGAGAAATTTATTAATGATTAAAATTCAAATAATGCTCTTGAAAACTTATCTTGTAATTAGAGTATCACTCGAAACATTTTAGAATAAAATAAGGAGAGTACATAAAATTAAAACTTATATCTTAATAATGTTATTAATTCTTACGAAGGTGATTTGATCTAAGAAGAGCTAGATAATTATGAAGTATAATATGATTGAATTAGAAATTACTATTTGAAAATAAAGCAGATAAATTATTAAACATTATGATTATTTTGTAATTGATGTATACACTATATAATTTTTTACACAAAATTGACCTTCGGGGTTTTGGGGTTTTGGGG